TAAAAAAATTTAAAAAAAAAAAAAAAAAAAAAGATGCTAACAAAGACAGAAACCTGAGCTCAGTAAAACCAAACCTAACACTCAAAGCAGCTGCTTGTAATGCTGACTTCTGGGAGCCCAGACACAGACAAGTTCCCCAAAACCCTTCTCAGGCATGGTTCCCGGGAGTGTTTTCCAAGGCCCCACCTTACCTCCATGCTGTGGACCTCCACCAGGGCAGGCTGGCCTTCGGAGGGCAGGTTGGGGATCACCTTGATGAGCTGACCGCCAGGACCAAACCTGGCACAGAGATGTGGCACCGAGAACTTCTCAGGAGACGTTGGTCTCGACGGGACTATTTAGACAGATCGGACAAGAAATGAGCAGCATGTCACTTCTGTGCTCCTGCACCTGACCCACACCTCATGTTTCCCACTTCCGGGCGACAAGACTGCAATTTGATGGTGCAGAGCACCCAGCAAAAACATAAGACCAAGGCCCCCAGGCAAAAAAGGAGACTCTCATGAGGTGAGGCCTCAACAAGCCAAGAGAGTGAGAGTGCAATTTCACACATTTGTGGTTTTGTTCCACAAGAGACACAGGCCAAGCACTCCTGAGGGAAGGCTGGCAGGTTGCACAAAGCACAGGCCTGGGAACACAAGTCCCCTCTGAGATGGCTCACTGCCTAGTCAGGGCCAGGAAGAGAGACAGCCACTGCAGGGTCTGGTGACAGTGCACGTAGGGACAGACACACCATCCTCACACACACAGCCCAAGTGCAACCCGAGGGAAGAGCGGGGCCAGGACTGGCTCCCTGGTTCTAATCTGGAGCAGTGCCAGGGGGCAGTTCAGCACTGCCAGGCTGCACCTTGCTCGGCAGCAGGCCAGGAATCCACAGGATAGCCGTAATCTGCAAAGCCATGAGCGCCACCGAAGTTGCTGCCATAGGTACCGTAGGCAAAGTCCCCATGGAAGGAGCCTGGGGCAGGGGGCGCCTCAAAGGGGCCAGCGGTCACATTGTGGCTTCTGTAGATCTGACTCTTGGAAGAGAAAGCAGGTGGGAGGGTGAGCTCCACAAGGCCAGGAGGGCTGTGTGCAGGCTGGGACCGCGCTGGGGCCTGCAGGGTGTACCTGGTGTGAGTGGGAGCTGAGGCTGCTGCGGCGGCTGGGCAGGCTGCGTGCTGAGTGCTCGCTGTGCACACTGCGCCTGTCCACCTCCTCCCCGTATGGGTCCCTGTGGGGCTCTGCATCATCATCGAAGCTCCCGGTGAAGCGAGGGTCGTACCTCCAGTGGTCATCGCCCTTCTCAGGTCTGCAGGGAGCCACACCAAGGCACGGAATGGGAGATACCCACTGCAGGAAGCCCCCACCTTGATGGCCCGCAGCCCCATCACAAGGCACAGGGCTGCACCGAAGAATGGAGCTGGGCCTTGCGGCAGCCCAGGCACAAAAAACACAGCCCAAGGTGTGGCCTCCGGACTCAGAGTGCAACCCCTTCTCTGGGACAAAATGGGGCCCTGAAAAAAAGGGACCTGGGCCCAGAAGGAGCAGGCTACTTTTCCTCTTCCAGGATGCGATCGAACCACCAGTGGCTCCTCCCCAGACACCCTGGCCACAGGTCTTTGATTAAGCCCAAGACGCAAGGGTGGAGCACCCAGCATCCCCAGTGCACAGCACCAACCTGCTGCCGTACGAATAGCTTTCCTTCCTATGTGGTTCGTACTCAGAGTCATACCAGTACCTCCGGTCCCAGGTGCGGGGATCCCGGAATCGGGAGCCATAGTAGCGGTCCCAGCGGCCCGGGTCTGTGAGGGAGGAGTGCAGGGATCAGTGCTGGCACACACCCAAGACCCTGGCTCCATGGAAGCAGCTGCACCTCCAGGGCAGGTGAGGCGCCCAGGCTCGGAGGGAACCGCCTAGCAGGTTCCAGAGTGACATGGAGTTGCTGTGTCCTAATATGTGGTGACACCCTATGGGGGCTACCATAAGTACAAATGGTATTGCTTAAAAAAAAAAAAGAAAGAAACTAGCCAGGTGTAGTGCACAGCTGTAATACCTGCTAAGGAAGGAGGATCCCAAGTTTGAGACCAACCTGGGCAATGTAGCAAGTCTGTCTCAACATAAAAGTTAACAAAGGGCTGGGATAGGGATCAGTGGTACAGTAATTGACTAGCAGAGGCAACCCTGGGTTTAATCCCCAGTACTGCCCAAAATGAAACAACAAAACGTGCTAAAAGTCTTACTTTCTTTTTCATAGCTACTATTTTTCTCTTGTGATGCTGGGGATCAAACCCAGGGCCCTTCATACACTGGACAGCTACAGACCTCCAGCTTCAATTACTACTATTAATCCAAGACAGGCGTGGTGGCACACTCCTGTCATCCCAGTACTCTGGGAGGCTTAGGCAGGAAGATTGAGAGCTCAAGTCCAGCCTGAGCAACTCAGCAAGAGCCTGTCTCAAAATAAAAGATGAAGAGGCCAGAGATTTAGCTCAGAGGTTCCGCAGCCTGCCTGGCAAGTGCAAGGACCCAAGTTCGATCCCCAGTACCAAAAAAAAAAAGTTACAGTTTTGAGGTAAGGGATTTAGCTCAGTGGTTTCACCTCCTGCCTTGCAAGTGCAAGGTACTGAGTTCGATCCCTGGTACCACACACACAATCAATCAATCAATCAATTAATTAATTAAAAGATTAAGAATAGGGCCAGCAATTTAGCTGAGTGGTTTCATCACCTGCCTCACAAGCGCAAGGACCTGAGTTCTATCCCTGGTACAAAAAAAGAATAAAAAGGGCTCAGGATATAGCTCAGTATGAAGGCCCTGGGTTCGATCCCCAGTGCCACACACACACACAAAAGTTAATTCCCTGACTATAAAATTAATTCCTTGATTATAAGTTTCCTGTGACATTCCTATGATCCAAAAGACATTAAAAAATAATTTTAACATTAAAACAAAAGTATTTTGCTTTTTTTTGTGTGTGTATTGGAGATTAAACTCAGGACCTTGTGATTGCAAGGCAGGCATGGTGCCACTGAGCTAAATCCCCACCCTTCTGTTTCATTTTTGAGACAGGGTGTATGTAGTCCATGCTGGCTCTGAACTCATGATCCTCCCACCTTGGCCCCCCAGGTTCCAGGGTTATAGGCGTGATCTACTATGCCCAGCTACAAGCTACGTTTGAAAAGGAATGTGAATGCTGTGAGCAAGCTGGAGGTACCACTTTTGGGAACTGTATGCAGAATCTACTTAAAACAGGTGCCAACATCCAAGGGGAAAGAGCCATCCTGAGAAGTAGAAGGCTAGGTGGGGGCACTGTCTGGGAGCAGCCAACAGGGTCACAGGGGACCCCAGCTCCTCCAGGACGTGGCTATCTGCAGCCCACGCCCGGGGCAGGCAGGCACGGAAGCCCTGTGGAATCCTGGAGGTGTCTTGCACCGGCAGCATGCAGGCCCATATGGCTGGTGTGACCAGAGTATGGCTTTCCCCCTGCTCACATCCGGGCAGCCCCAGGGCCGCAGCAGCTGCAGAGCTGTGGGTCAGTCACTGTGCAGCTGCCAACGTGACAGCGTTGCATGAGACCCACCTCCCAAGGAAAGCATCTGCACCACGCAGAGGGACACGGAGAGGAGCGCAGTGTGAGGCATGCAAGCCACCACCCGATGGGCACCCACAGGCCGTCTCCGGGCAGTGGACCCTAACTTACCTCCGTAGTCGTACTGGCCGGAGTAAAAGTTGGCATAGTAATCACTCTGGCTGCTCCATCCACCCTTGGAACTATAGTACCCTTCAGGGTACCCTTGCCTGGAAAGCACACAGGGCTGTTAAGTACACATTATCCCCGAAGACATTCACAATACAGACTGCAAACTACACTACAGTATCAGGCATTTGTCGAAGCACTCTGGTCATGAAAATCTCTACTCAGAAGATCCAAATGGAGCCAGGTGTCATGGAACACACCTGTACTCCCAGCTATGCGGGAGGCTGAGGCAGGAGGATTGAAAGTTTGCAGCCAGCCTAGGCCACTTACTGAGACTCTGTCTCAAAAACTAGAAAAGTAAAACAAGAAAGGGGCTGGGAGTACAGCTCAGTGGTACAGTGCCCCTGGGTTCAACCCCCAGTACTGCCCCAAAAGAAAATCCAAAACGGCAACAAGGATGAGGTCCTGAATTCCCACCACGAGGGTAACAGAATTCAGCTCAGCAAAGTCCCTATCTGACAGGGCTCAGCAGAAGTGAGCTGACCCTTCTGGTGTCTAGTGCCACGTCCCATAAAAAGTTTCTGATTTGCTCAGCACCCTCAAAGTTCCCACTGCAACAGCTGTGCGAGTGTGCCCAGCTGGCCTCGAGTGCCCACTGAGAGGGGCCAGCATGCGGTCCAAGACAGGGCCGGGGGCTGTGCCCAGGCCACCCACAGCCTGACCCAGCGCCAGCCAGATGCACCTCACCAATCCACAGCTCCACCCCTAACAACAGTAGAGGGGAATTTAGCAAAATGATCGAGTATAAGGGATTCTGGTGCTTTCAAGATCATGAAAAAATTTAATTGTGCTTTTAGTTTGCCTAATAGCAAGTTTCATGCACTACCTGACTTTTTAAAATGTGACCTTCCTCAGCGTCTTCAGGAAAGGTCACTCAACCTAGCACCTGAGAGGCCCGGCCACCGGTGCCCTGCTCCCCATCTGCTCAGCCACAGGAATGCCAGCAGCCTCCCTGAAGGCCCTGGGGTTGCCTAGACCATTCAGCTCTGCATGGCAGTGACAGAGGGAAAGCAAGAGCATGCCATCTCCTTGGCTGGCTTCGGCAGCCCATAGAAATGGAAAACACACAACCAGCCCATACAGGGACCCCGCTGCTCCTGCCATGCTGGGAAGGAGAGAACGGAGATTCTGTCCAGGATATGACAAAGTCACTGAGCCACAACCTAGCTGGAGCGATCAGCTGCACACACCCACAAGTGTTCGGCATGTACCTTTGGACCAAGGTACCCCAGGGCCACCTGAGCAGGCAAAGGTTCACAGGCAGGGCCTTCTGTCTAAAATGCTTAGGCCTTTGCACGTTAGACCCCCCCACACGCCTGCCAAGAGGCACTGCTCCTGGCTCCGATGAGGGGCCACGGCAGTGACCAGCACCAACACCCCATGACGTCCCCAATTTTGCCACCACCCAATCCTGACCGCACAGATCAAAAGCAGCCTCTCGGGGATGTGGGAACGCCAGCAGACTTTGACTTGGTTACGTAAAGGGTCCCTTGGCAGAGGGCACCATGCTCCCATGTTCTCCAGATCTCTGCCCTGCAAACTGGAGAACAGGGGCCTGTACCCACAGGCTCTGGGCTGAGAAGGAGAGGCAGGAACAAAGCACGGGAGCCAGCCTGAGGGATGGGAGGACTGCACCATGTCGGTGACCCACCCTCAGTCCGAGAGCCCTGGACACCTGCTAGGACCGCGGCCAGTGGCAGGAACACTCCTGACCAAGGTGGGAATGAACATAGGCAGAGGTCACGGCTCAGCCCGTGGCTCTCACAGGGCCTGGCCTGCCTGCGGGTGGGGCCACATGCCAGGTGACCAGCTCAGCGTGGACTACAGGTGGCAGTGTGCTCAGTCCCATTTAATATCACCGCCTGCTGGGGGTGAAGGGAGGGCAGAAACAAGGGGAAAAAATGAGAACCAAGACCTATCATGTAAAGGTACAAGATCACCTAAAATGTACCAATAAACTCAATTTAAAATACACACACACACACACACACACACACACACACACACATACACACACACACACACACATATCACCGCCTGCTATTTTCCATCCTGAAAGATGCTCACAGGCAGCAAGAGGCCTGTAGAATCCTCTACGGCATTTTCTAATCACCATGTCATCATCACACAAGCATTAGCAATGCAAGCACCAGCCTGGGGTTAGGGAAGCAGCTGCGGGCGGGGTGCAGGGCCCACCTGGCAGGGGGTCGGTCTGAGCACTGACTCGCCCGGGAGCTGGGCCGCTCTGGCTCGGGATAGCGGTAGTTCTCGGTGTACGCTGATGCAGAACTGTCGTAGGGCCTGTAACGGGGCTCATACAGGCCATAGATGTCCTGCGGGAGGAGGGTGAACACATCAGAGCCCAACAGAGCAGCCACATTCCCAACAGCAGGACCAACACAGGCTTCCTTCACGCGCACAGAAACCCATGTGGTCCACAACTCCTGTTGTCCCAGCACTCCGAGAGGCTGAGCCAGGAGGACTCTAAGTGCAAGCCCAGACCAGGCAAGTTGGCAAGACCCTATCTCTAAAAAACAAATAGGGTTGGGCTGTAGCTCAGTGCAAATGCTCTGGGGTTAATCCCTAAGAACGCAAAAGGGAAGAAAAAACAACAGCCTACAAGGCAAAGTCCACGTCAACATGCAGGTAGCAGAGCCTCCCAGCACGGCCAGCCTAGCCCTGCTCAAGGGGCCCCCTGGAGGCCAGTGTGAGGTATCTGCCGACTGAAGTGGAACACGTGTCCTGTCTCAGCTCCTGCCTCAGGCGAGGAACAGAACAGGGCTCTATTTGGATGGGTCCTATAGCCTGGGTAGCCTCAAGAGGACGGCACGGTACTTGTGCAAGGCTCTGGGTCCCATCACAAAACCACCAGGCCCCAGCTTATCTTCAAGGAGGCGCCAAGTGGATGTGGAGATGGGAAGAGAAGCGATTGGTACAGGGGCAGCACCAACTCCTCCCACTGCACCTACGGCCACCTACACCACACTGTGTGAAGTCCTGGGAAGGGGTGTGTTCTGCCCATGCCTACAGACCATGGAGACAAAAAGAGGAAGTGATACAGTCTTGTGCTTCCTTGTGAGAGGCCCAGGGAGTCTGTAGCTCCCCTCACTCCGCTGGCCCTGGGCTCCAGCTCAGCTGAACACACCAGTGCTGAAATATCGAAGCCCCCAGCCCTTTCCTTCCACGCCTAGGATGCCGGGCTACAGGGGATGCAAGTGTGCATCAGTGTGCAGATGCCCCGCGCTGGAAGGGAGGCACAGCCTGGGGCCAACACGCAACCAGCTGGCTGCCAATGGCGCTGCCTTCTACCTCAGGGAGCTGGATCAGAGCCAGAGGTGAGGGAAAGCAGATAACAATCTAGCGTGTCCATTTGGACCATGCTTTTTCAAAATGCTGCAAGACGAAAGAGAACCAAAATCAAACAGCAGCGATGACCTGCATCACTGCGACAAGAGCAAGAGAAGAACAAGGCAGGGCCTCTCCACCCTCCAGGGGTGTAAGCCCATGTGAGGGAAGTCTAAGGACTTCCCATCTCTCTTTGCTAGGGCCAGTGGATTAATACTCTGGATCTAACTTTCCCTCTCGATACTTTTATTCTTTAGGAGAAACTAAAATGATTCTAGTTATTCCTGTTGCTTCCTATGCTGGCTAACATCACACACAAACTTCCCAAAATGCACACCACGAAGCTATGCCCTGCAAAGATCCTGCAGGGTCCAGGAGATAAAGGGAGCTCTCTGTCCCCTAACTGGAGACACTGGGCCACACAAAAGAGACACAATACTACTAAACCTAATATGCTAACGCTCGGAGGGGACCCTCAAGAGGTACGTGTGGTAGGGGAGGGCTTTCCTAGTGTCACTAGGTGGGTCTGGGTTAGGCAGTTGGGTCACTGCAGAGGAACACACAAGAAAAGCCCAAAAGGTCAAGCAAGGGAGAAAAGTGGCTAATGTTGGAATTCACTCTACCTGGTAACAGAGGGAGGCCGTCCCAGGGTCCGACGGGTATGGTGCCGGGTACTGAGCTTGGTAGGCATCGTACAGGGGTCTGTAATAGTAGTAGGATGCCAGGTCCTGTGGCGGTGGGCCGAATGCACTCGAAGGTGGTGGCTGTAGCCACGGCTGCTCAGGCCGCATGGCTGCCTGGCTCGAGTCGGTGGACACAGCTGACACGCTGGAGGACCGGGGTGGCTGAGGTGGCAGCTTCTGGTCTGCATTGGCCATGGCCGAACTAGTTGGTGTCTGGGCTGAGTTCTGGGACTGTCCTTCTGTAGGGGGACTTTCTATATTTGAAGCTGCTTGGGGCACCTGTGGGAGAGAAGCCTGTGGCTGAAGGGGCGCCACCTCTGCCTGGGTCCTGAGGCCTTGCTGGTCCTGCGCATCTTCCCTCACCTGCTGGTAATGGCCTGGGTCACGCACCCCAGGCCCCGACTGTTGGGGAGGATTAGCAGCAGCCTGCTGGGCGGTTGGGCCCTCCAAATGGGATGGGCTGTACAGTCTCGCAGGGTTTTCCAAAGTTCTGCTCAGTGTGAAGTCTAAGGCTCCAGCAGCCTCTTCCCGGTTACTGGAGTGATTTGCCTTAGTGCTGCTAGGCACCAAGGTACTGCTTGCAGGGGGGACTAACAACACACTGGTGCCTCCGGCAGGGCTATTAACAAACTCAGGAAGAAACTTTTCTGAATTATGAGTCTTCTGCCTTTCTAGAAGTGAGCCCTGAGGAACTGGTAAGGACAGTGGCTGCACAAGCAAATTAGCAGGCTGATTGGAACTCATTTCAGAAGAGCCGGGCCCCTGTAGAACATTACTCTGGCCGAGACCGTTAGGCAGAGACAAGCCAACCGCAGCACTGGGTACAACTCCAGATGAAGCAGTGTGTTCACCAGAATCAGCACCAAGAGCCCAGCTGCTCACTGTGGATTTGTCCCCCACCAAATCATCTCCCCAGGACTGATTTTTCTCAGTAGGATTCAGCAAGGACACAGAAACATTTAGGGGTTGAGCCAAATTATAGCTTTGATCAGGCTGGGCAATCAAGACCGGCTGATTCTGCAAAGCCTCAGTGGGTGGCGAGGACAGCAAACTTGCATAACCGGAACTTGCCTGGGACTGAAGGGCCTCATCGCCACCCACCTTGGGAGGGTTCTCCAGGTTCTCAGAAGCACCCGGGTGGGCTCGGCTCTGCAAGGGGTGGACAGGACCTGGCTTCCGAGACGGCTGCCCAGGCAGCCCCTCTTCCGGAGGCTGAACAACTGCTGGGGGCTGAGGCTTTGCAGGTACGTAAAGTGCAGGAGCAGCAGGGGCTAGGAGCACATTGCCGCCAAAGTCTGCCAGCTCATTCTGTGCCCAAAGAGTCGTTGCGGGGCTCTCACACTTCACGGTCCCCTGGGCCCTGGCTGAGGGCCTCTTCTCTGGAGTCGGGCGCACAGTATCCAAGGGAGGCGCCATGTGTCCAGCTTCCCCAGTCGGAGGCAGAGGCTGGGGGCAGGCCTGGGGTGCAAACAGAGTCTCCATGTTGTCTGGAGGCTGCTCCAGGTTGCCCAGGGAGGTGTTGGGCGGTGTAGCCACAGACCTGGGCTTCTTCACACACTCATGGGTGCCCCTCACTTCACCCACCACATTGGCACGATCCGCCTCAACTGGCTTCACCCCGACTGAATGTGACTTTACTGGCTCAAAAGAACTATTTGCACTTGTCTGGAATATCCCTGTAGGTTTTGGGGGACTTGGGGTTGAGGGCTGGGACAAGGTGCTATAGTAATTCTGGCTCCCACCGACCTCCTCTATCTCACCTCCCACAGGAGAACAATCAATTTGCTTAAAAAAACTGCCTGTCGATTCATCTTCAGGCTTTCCCACTTCCTGCTGGATGAACGTGCCCACCAGCTCCTGTGACCTGGCCGATCCAGGGAGACTCCGGTGGCTCTGGCTGCTGTAGCTGGATGACAAGCTGTCAGATCGCACTGGGTGCACAGGTGTGTCTGGGGCCTCAAGATGCAGCACCCCACCTCGGGTGAGGCCCACAGTACCGTGCCTGGTGACAGGTGGCATGGGAAGGGGCCCGTATCGGAACTGGTCACTTGGGGAGGAGGCGTCCAAACTTAGGGGCTCACTTGGCAGAACTTCCTGATTCTGAATGAATTCTAAATTTTCGACATTCTCGTACTGTGAACTGCCAGTGCCATAAGCCCCTGCGCTTGCTGTGTCACCCCAAGTGTCACTAGCAGCACTGTCAGTGGCTTGTCTGTCATTTTGGATGCTTACAGACTGAGAGAAATAAGGCTGTGTGTCTCCTTCCTGCTGTGTGGTCTCGCCATGGGATCCCTGGAGAAAGGCCTGTTGGACACTGCCAGTGACGTGTGCGGGGCGGTGCAGATGGCCCAGTCCAGGGCTGGGGGAAAAACCATCAAAGTCCAATCGTCCAACAGAGCCTGTCTTTTCAGATGAGAGATTCTCCTCATTTTCGGTCTCTTCCCCTTGGAAAAACATGGAGAGTGTTCCTGAGGCTGTTTCCAGTGGAGCCTGGCCAGTCCCAGCCCCTGGAGGATAATGGGTGTGGTTTTCAGGGCTGTTTCCCAGAGTGAGGGGATTCCCAGGGGCAGGGTCCCGCAGATGCGCTTTATTCACTCCTGGATTCTGCCTGAGCTCCTGATTTTCCCACATATTCCCAATCCTGGAATTGTGCCCAAATGAATTTTCTGAGTGGAAGTTATCTGCTGAGTGGTTTCCACTTTGCAAGGGGGTTACCTCGCTTCCTCGGCCACTGGCTAAAGGCGCTAGAGACCCTAGCTGGGTATGGGGCTCACAGGCAGGACTGTGGTGCAGGCTTGATGGAGCAGGGAAGTGGGGAGTGCTGGTGGCCTGGGGCCCAACACTCTGGACAGGTCCTTCTGGGCAAGGCAAGGGATGCTGCTGGGAGGGCTGGGGGCTGCCCTGCACTGGCCCCCACTGTGCTGGCATCTGGGGCCGAGGCTGGGGCAAGTATGGGGATGCTGCTGCTGCTATGGCTGGGGCCACCCCACCGTCACTCAGCGTGTGCCCGCTCAGGGCCTGCTCAGGCCCAGTCCCACCCCCATGCTGGTGGCCCCCGTGAGACAGGTCAGGACCTCCTCCTGGAATGTGGTGGGGTGGATGCAGCGGAGTCAGAACTTCAGACCCAGAGGTGGAACTGATTTCAGCAGTTCGGCACATCTCGTGCCCTGGGAGCGATGCAGGGACAGATGCAGCAGGAAAAGGATCTGCTCCAGGCTGTGACAGAGGTCCTGGTGGAGACTCCTGGGGTCCTCGGGTACCATCCTCAGCACTGGCGTGAGGCATGGGCAAGCCAGACCACTGAGAAAACACTGGCAGGGCTGAGTCATGCCCGGCTGGCAGGCTGCTCCTGGATGGACTACCCAGAGCACTATTCTGGAGCATCTGTCTACTAAAAGCAAATGGATCCGTGACTGGTTGTTGTGGACAAGGTGGAGCCGTCAGGGCACTGCTACTGGCCAGCCTCCTGTAGCTGCTGCTACCCCAGAACATGCTCCGAGGAGTCCCAGCCGGAGGGGGTCCAGCCATGCCAGATGGGACCGTCTGAGGTGGAGGCTGCATGATGGGTCTCTTCCACAGGAGATGCTGCTTACAGAGGAGGCAGGGTAAAGCTCCTCCTTAGGATGAGCTGGAGAAGAAAAAGAAAAAGTGAACACGAAATCCATATATTTAAAGTGCTGACTGTAATTACAAAAACTATGGCCGGGCGTGGTGGTGCACGCCTATAATCCCAGCACTTGGGAGGCTGAGGCAGGAAGATCACTGTGAGTTCGAGACCAGCCTGGGCTACATAGCGAGTCCCAGGTCAGTCTCAACTACATAGCGAGAACCTATCTCAAAAAACCAAAAAAGAAAGAAAGAAAGAAAGAAAACTATGATCAACTATGGGAACAACACACATGACTTTCTTTCAGTCATTCGAAGACATCTCTCTCCCAGGCTCCAACCCAGCAGAGGATGTTCACCCTTGAGCTGCTCTGGGGACTCTGGAGGGAGCAGACTCAGGACACTCAGCTCGACCACTTGCTGGCCATTGGCAATTCCCACTCATCCTGCCCACTGCTTTGGGGCCCTCACCAAGGCAGGGAAGAGGTATAAGGTGGCTGCCACTATGCAATCCTCCCCCAAAATGCTTGCTAATCCTTCATATTTCCCCACAAATCACTGCTAGATCCAGAGAGAAGCAACTCCACTACTAAGAAAGCCCACATAACATACTTTTTACACATGCTAATTTTAAGTCTGGGAAACAAGATGGAATTTCTTTGCTCTTCTGGTTTCTTTAATGAAAAGCATCACATAGTGTATAATTATAAAAGCTACTAAATGTTTCTTAGTTCCCTGCATAAAATGTCTCACTTTTCCTATAGTGACTGTTTTCCTCTGAAAACACTGCAACAAGTTTTCCTGTGATCCTGAAGTTGTAACTAGGCCAGGAGAAAAATCTCAAGGAAATTTATAAGCAGATTCAGAACTCTAGGGCTGACTGAATTCACAAATTTCCAACAGGAAGAGTTCAGGTCTCTTCTAGAAAATATAGGGCAAAATCCTCACCATCACAACAGTGTCTTTTGTGGCTGGTTGGTTTGGGGTTTTTTGTGGTTTTTTTTTTTTTTTTTTGGTACCAGGAACTGAACTCGGGTCCTTGTGCTTGCGAGGCATGAGGCAGAACCACTGAGCTAAATCCCCGGCCGCTGTTTTGAATAAAATACAGTAAATGAGATCTTGACTAACCTATCTTTTCAAGGCAGAAATTCAAGTTCTACATCTTGCAAGTCCTTATCTGTGCATCAGTCCATCTCCCCAGATATGCTTGGCTAATTTTAGAGAACATTAAACGGAAGGGAGAAATTGTGGAAGGCCTTTGGAGTTTAACCCGCACATCTCTTAGTTCCCAAGTCTTTCTGACAAGAAGAAAATGATGTGCTGCCACCTGCCTTGCAAGCACAAGGTCCTGAGTTCAATCCCCAGTACAGAAAAAAAGAAAACAATGATGATTGTGTTATAAATAAAACCACTCACTTATATGTGTTTCTAATCCCTTCCTGAAAACTAGTCTTATAAATCCATTAATTCACTGATATTAGCCAAGTGGGGCAGGACATGTTTTATGATCCCAGCTACTCAAGAGGCTGAGGCAGGAGGATCACAAATTCTAGGAAAGCCAGAACTTAGTGGGACCTTGTCTAAAAGTAAAAAAGGGTGGAGTTGTTGCTCAGTGATACAGTGCTCTTGAGTTCAATTCCCAGTAGCTCTAAGAAATTTTTTAAATAAAAATAATTCACTCAACACTACCCATATGGTCAAGAGGGAACCTTTCCCAACTGTAAGCTCAATGACATCCACTCGAGTTCCATGCACCCTACAAGGACCAATACCAGAGCATTCCCTTGGTTCTGAGCTGGCATCCCCTGACAATTTACAGCTTCACTTTCTAGGGACCAGAAGCAGAGGCCCGGCCTCCTCCCTTCTCCAGGAGTCCACCCAGTGACAAAGCCACCATGCACACAGCAAGTCCTCCCAATAAGGGCAGGATACAGATGTCCGTGTGCCTCCTGAACCCGGGTACAAAGAGGAAAGGGCTTCTCAGGTCCTCAGCTTAGTTAGTTACTAGTTAGTTACTTAGTTATTTTAAAAAGTTAAAATAAAATGAAACACAGAGCACCAACTTAGAGGATTCGTTTCTCAAAAATTACTGTATAGTGAGACTAAGCGTCCAGCTGGGCGGCTCAGGGAAGCCACTTCTCTTCTGCAACACACTGGGTGGAGAGGCACACAAACTCCAGCCATAAAATAAACAATACTATGATTTTTTTCCTCAGGTCACTGCTGGGTTTAATCTTATGAAACTGTACTCAGGGTGGCTACTTAATGGGAAATCTTAAGACTTAAATGTTCTCCTTGCAGAAATTTAAAATTGTTTTCTAAAACCTACTAGACTAAGACTTGTTTTATAAGTAAACAGCAACTGATAGCCACGTAGCAATAAGCCAGTCTTTTTTTGTTTGTTTGTTTGTTTTGGTTTTTTGAGACAGGGTCTCACTATGTAGTTGAGACTGACCTGGAACTCACTATGTAGCCCAGGCTGGTCTCGAACTCACAGAGATCCTCCTGCCTGAGCCTCCCAGAGTGCTGGGATTACAGGTATGCGCCACCACACCCAGCAATAAACCAGTCTTATATGGAACATCTTATGACTTGCACATTACTCTTTTCACCCTCATCAATACACAGTAACAGAAAAACAAGGAACTGCCTAATATTTCAAGTCAGAGGACCACAGTCACTTCTCTTCTGTTCAGCAAGTCACCCAGCTGCCAAAAGGCACCTGTTTCAGAGACCGGCTGGTCGTCTTCAAGATGCATTATTCATAAACCCAGCTTTTTAGCTCACCTGCTTTTTGTCCATGGCAGTACTTACCCAAGGCCATCCGCAGTGTGAGTCTCGGACTAGAGGGCTGAATATTTAAACCTCTCCCTCCCCCATTCTTCCTCATTGCCTCTAGCTCTAAGGGTGCAGACCCAAAGGAGCACTAAGCAACAGCTCAGTCTCTGATTACCATCTCCTTCACAGCGGTGGCTAGTGACCCCCCTCAGACTAGGGACACAAGACACAGGCCCAATCTTCCCAGCCAGAACTGGAACGAAGGAAACTCAAATGTTTTAGAAGGCAGAGGAGTCTAAACACTGCTAAAAGTGACAAAGACCCACGAGGACATTCGGACACTCAAGAAGGATGTTTACAGAAGCAGAATGGAATCATACTACAGCATACACAACACCTAAGAGAAAGCTTCCTAGACAATCTGAAGATTCACTGCTACGACAGAGAGATAACAGTCACAGGAAGAAGAATGAATCACTATTTTGCCCCGTTTCTTTGCAAGACACCACCAGCACACAAACCTTAAGGAGTCAGGGACAAAAACCGCAGGCAGGCTGCATTATGCTGAAACTTCAAAAAGTACCACGCAGAAACTACTGCCGGTAGTTCTGCTGCTTCTTACTACATAAAAGAGCTCTCTGGCTAACACCTGCATCCTACAGATTTGAAAGGAACTCTTAATGAGCAATCTATGCCCAATCTACCAGCCACTTAGAGGCGTTTTTAAGCGAAACAACAAAAACTGATTCCAAGTGGTTTGGTGTCTGGAAGCTCCGCTGTAACATTTGGGTTCCTCTACCTCTGATGGAAAGCACCGTCCTCGACCTCCCTTGCGACATCTGGCCACCCTGCCAAGAGATTACAAATAATATCGCTGCTCCTTGGTGCAAATGTCAATGCACCCACATCGCTGAAGAAAGTCTTTCGGCAAAAAACACCCGCAGAACCTCTGGCACAAAAAAACACGCTCAACCCCTACAGAAACTTTCCAGGGGTCCCTTCGTGTTAAACAGCGGAGGCGCTGAGCGCCGGCCAGGGCCGGACACTAGGGG